GACACATTTGAGGAAATGTGTTTCTTTCGTCTTATCTAATGTGTTTTGTTTGTGCAATAAATCCTGACATCTTAGTATAGCACTACGCAAAGCAGTTTTGACTTCATAGACACATTTTACTAGTCTGATTTATCATTTTAGAATTAGAGTAACTGTTGTTGCTTTTACGTATTAAATAACTGTGTTTTTACATAGTAAATAAACATTTTGTTGAAGTATTCCCAAATAATATTTCAAAGCTTAAGAAACAGCACTTACAACAAAATTTTACAAATATTTAGGATTTGGTTTTCTATGTTCACTTGATTTAATGTCGTATTGTACGTTTTATATTTTCATTATTTTGAGTTTATTTGTTGAAAGTTATTAGACGTTATTGGCACTCAAAAGTTAACGGAAATCTTACCGATACTTCCTAACAAAATAATGTTCTCTTAAATGTGATCTAATTTATGAAGTATAGTTCTAAGCACAAACTATTAATTCTAAGATATGTTTTAGAGGTACATCCGGAGGCAGGACTCACAGTTTGTGAGGTAGTCTGTCAGATGTAACATCTATTCACGTGCCTTACATACTACTCAGTAATTAAGTTTAAGAATAGATTAAGACGTTCAAGCCTACAACATTCTCCTTCTTATCATGGTATGCAGCCAATTGTGGGAAGGTGTTGGCTGCTCAGTTGTAAGATATATATATATAGAAGGTTATATGAAGATATATACGTAGAAGGTTATATATATATATATATATATTTATAGGTTATTCGCAGTTACTGGGTCCGTTTATCTGATGAAATAACTATTCCGGTCTTCATAATGGACTACAACAGTCAGGTAGTTATACAGCGAACAACTGAAGTTCGATACAGGTGATAAGGCCTTTATAATGTTGTTAACCAGTTGTCATATAGTGCAGATCTATAGAATTATTTATATCATACTTCGACGCCAGTACCGGTGAGCAGGAAGACGGCACTTTATCTGTAGGACGAAATAACTATTAAGCGCTAAAAGTTCGGGGATAGAAAGTGTTCTACGTAGTGATACATTTCTTGGTAGAATAATGTAAATGATTCAACTCATAAGGAAATTTGTCAGTTTGTTTCTTTTTGCGTTATTTAATGTGTTTTGTTTGTGTAGTAACTCCTGACATCTAGGAAAGTCAGTTTCAAGTTCATAGGCACATAAAGAGTAAACAGACATCACAACATTGATACAATATTAATATTTCATCAGGCTTACTAATATGTTTCACTCATAGCTTTGTTTGGCAAGTGCAATATTACAAACATTCCATTTGAATGTGTATACAGCTCCGTTTAACTTCATTTTATTTTTAGAAAAACAGAATTAGAGAGAGAGAGAGAAAGGCCTAGGGAAATCGAGAGAGGCAAGTTCAAATACACTCACGCCTAAAGAAATTTAAAATTTTCAATGCATGAGTAGTTTCCGACTGCCAAACGAAGTGGGCTTGTTTTATTAATGCTCGATATTTAACAAAGCAGGCAACATTTCGCTACACGTGGTCAAAATAAGTGTAAACGTCTTTTTGTAGTGCTTGAAATCATGTTATTTCGCTTACTTTTACGATTAAAACTGCTTGTTACTTAATTTTGTGATGCAAAATAGAATACAAATATATATGTGATATTATTACGAAAAGCGCTTTCCATAATGGTACAAGTCCAACAAGGTACACTTTTTATTTACCCAAATAATACTATACCAGTTTTTTTTTACTTATATGCCTTTTTGCTGAGATAGCAATCAGTGCAATATACTACTGAACAAACTGTCTTCTTTGGAACAAATGTTCAAATACTCAGTAACTTCTTCAGGGTTTTTAAAGCAAAGTGTCGTGTCCTTAAACACAGAATTCTTAAAACAGTTATGTTAAACGTATATAGTTTTATTGCACTTTCAATGAAGGTGGTTATAAAATATTTCAGTAAAGCATCAGTTAAGTCTATAATTTTTTTTATTGTATTTCTTAAGGCACTGATTCATATACAAATACAATGCCGTGTCCTTAAACGTAGAAATTAAATTCTTAAAACAATTATGTTAAACGTATATATAGTTTTATTGCACTTTCAATGAACATGGTTATAAAATACTTTAATAAAGCATCAGTTTAGTCTTTATGATTTTTTTATTCCTAAGGCACTGATTCATATACAAATACAATGTCGTGTCCTTAAACGTAGAAATAAGAATTCTACAACTATGTGAAACGTATATATAGTTTTATTGCACTTTCAATGAACGTGGTTATAAAATATTTCAGTAAAGCATCAGTTAAGTCTATAATTTTTTTATTGTATCTCTTAAGGCACTGATTCATATACAAATACAATGTCGTGTCCTTAAACGTAGAAATTAAATTCTTAAAACAATTATGTTAAACGTATATAGTTTTATTGCACTTTAAATGAACATTGTTGTAGACAATGTGGTTTTAAAATATTTAACTAAAAGATCAGTTTGGTCTTAAATTAAAGTTTTCTTAACAAAAGCAGAATATCCTTGTCATGTTTAAGTAACAAATTATAATTAAACTAGTTATTTAGAAAAGACGGAGTTTATATTTAACAAACATAAACCTGTCTACTGGTTCTCGCAAAGGGAAATTTTGTTAAGAAATATTAGCTTTCCCTTCCTGTACCATTAGTCAGTAAACAAATTATGAGACTGATGAAAAAAGTAGAAAATAACGACCTATAACATAGACTTCGGTCTGACAGCCAACACAATCATTAATCGTTTTAAGACTAAAAACGATTTACTTTCGTAGTCTAAAAATAGAACTTAATTAGACTTGCCTCATTTTTAACGATAGAAATTATGTTTATTTACAAATATTGTATTTGAAAAATTACAGTTTATCTATTGTAACATTTGTTGTAGCTCAAAACGAGGTTTGAAGTGAGTGTATCAGGTTGTTATTTATTTTAAAATTCTTAAATCTAAGGTTATATTGCACAGTTAGTCAATAATTTTCACACGCAAAAAAAAAAAACCACAACAAAACAAAACCAAAACACACAATATTTTTTTCTGATCATCCCCGCATTTCAGGTCAAGAATTTTTGCACCGGCATTAATGACGTCTCCAGACGATACACAAAGCAGACATACATAAGTAACAACAACATCTCTTTATCCATATGTCTCTAACAGAAGAGTGGTTTGTCTGCTTGGTAATCTCTAGTCATGTTGTGAAGCTCCTTGTTGTGAACATTTCGTTCTGCTAGAAAAATTTAGTTCATGTTATGTAGACGAAATTCTTCAGCCAAATGAACGTAGGACTTCGTCAACAGAAGAAGTTATCTCAAGAATATCTGAAAACAACGACAAAGACACCACTATTTATAATACAATATGAACTTATTAATAAAAAATGAAAGCAAGTAAGTTCAACCATTGTTCATTACGAACGGATGAGTCTTAGGCTTGCTAACATGTTTTACGTGTAGTCTTGTTTGGCAAGTGTAATATCGCAACCAATTCATTTGAATTCCTTCTTAAAATATATTCTACACAGGATGATCCGTTGCCATGGAGAAGGCGTTGATAAGGCTGCCGGAAGTGGGACTGATGCTTTCTACGATTAGAGATAAGCAATCAAGACTGGATACTGAAGAAGACTGTTGTTCGCCCCCTATAAAAATATAACGAAACCGACCATGAAGGATGATAAACCTTAATTACATTATTATTACTATTATTCGTTTACCGATATCACCGGTACATTTTAGTTACTGTTTTACCCTAGTTTTATAAGTATAACTATTGAGGCGCAATTCAGTTATGTTAAACTTTTGAATTCTTAACGTCAGCAAGTATATATATATTTTAACACTTAAGTTTTAGAAGAAGTTAAGTCTCTTTCTTTTACACTTTACATGGCATAAAATTACAAAATATATTTCAATAATGATTTATATATCTTGCTCAACCAAAGACTACTTAAATTAAAGTTTCTAACGATATTAATATCTCATAGAGATATACTAAGTCTTTGCGCAACACGATTTTACTTGTCACTAGCAGTAAATTATCTAGTGCAATAGAAATACAATTTTGCTGTAAAACCTTAAATAAAACAAACAAAAACAACATTAGAATCTGGATTTCATAGTTAGTCATAACCTATTACCAAATAAAGTACTCCCATATAATTACATTTTGCATCTACAGGATGTCATACTTGAAACTTTAGAATTTGGATTTCATGGTTAGTTATAACAATGAATGTTACCGAACAAAGTACTTCCATATACTTATATTCTATATCTAGCAGGATTTCATATTTTAAACTTTAGAGTTTGGATTTTAAAGAGGCTACTAATTAACAAAGAAAACAAGTAGTTGAAGGCACAATGTATAAATACTTGAGCTTAGATATAAGGTAAGAATCCCTCTTAGTAAATCAGTTGTTAAACATTAAATCTGTTAAATGTTTAAATGGCTAATTCAGAAGTTATTTACCTAAATAAATATATTTAACATAATTGTGTTAATTATGATATTTTCTCAGAAATATTTTGGAAATTTTATGTACTATTTTGTCTCAAATAATGCTATATAAAGTGTGAAGTCTTCTTTATATTATACCTTTCTGGTCACTCATAGACTTATCACGCAGTTATAACAGTATTCTTCTGGTAACTAACTAGCTTTATACTCATGACATATAACGTGACTTGCCTGGTACTTAGGTTGTTGATAAAAGCTGACAACGTATATATGTTTAGAGCAATTAGAAAACCTTAAAACACCACTCTCAGTTGTGATGTTCCTTCAATAATTAAAATGTTTAACTTGTAACAAAATCATTATGTATCCTTTATAACCATTTTCAAAAGTCAATGTTGCCATATGCTTGGGATAGCGTGCATGCCTAGAGGAACTTGTCACTAACGGTTCATTACCTGTTAAAATATAGAAAGAAAACCAGGCGGCGAAATGACACGTAAGAATACTGATCCACATTATTTTACCGAATAGCGTAACTAACATACGAACTATGGTTACAAAAATCGACAAGGTCGAAGTCATTTTACAGCGTTTATATCTCTTTAAATTGCATTCGAAACATAGCTGAAATTTCAACGTCAGAAGCTTTGTATTACGCGTCCTCTTGTCGACGACCACGTCCTATCGCCAGGCTCATAAAACAAGGAGATGTTTTCTCTAGGGTGTGATTTAACTGTCGCCGGATGTGTCGCTTTTCACATCTCAACTCTGTAGCTATGTTTCAGTGTTGGTTGCTTCCTTACTTTAAAGTAAACTCTTTAAAATGGCGTTCTTCATGAGAGGAAATAACCACCAGCATGTTCATTCCCTGCTCTCAAAAAGTGTCAGTTCTCTAAAGGTGAAATTAAATAATTATGTCACAAGAACTTGGAGAGTTTCGTTTTAGAAGAATTGCTTTAAAATGTTTTCGGTTTAAGAATGTCAAATATACTAAAAAGACCAGTTTTATTTTTCACTTTTATTTGGAATGTATATTTAATAAACTTGCAACAGATGACGTACAGTTATATATAAATTGACGTATGTATTATTTACTAAAATTTATTCAGTCTTACATTTACTGCATCGGTATTGACTGAAGAAAATGGTTTTGAATATATTCTACTGATTATTTTACAGAATGTATCTTTTTTAAAATGAATTAATGGATATTTAATTAACCCTTTTCTTTCTCCTTTATTATTTACAGTTAATAATTTTAATATATGTATGAGGTTTGATCAGTAAGAGACATCTTCGTTTATTGAACGTTAAGGAATTAATAAAACAAACCAATGATATAATGTCTAGAGGAAAATGTTTCTGTCTTATATTTCTAGGTTTTAACTTACGTTTATCGATTGGAAAATGTTGTGATAATTATTGTATAAAATAGAAACTTAATTCGTTATTCAGTGGAAATTAATTTTTAAACCTAATTGTCTACTTCAAAAATTCTAACTCCAGTTTATTTATCTATTTTAAAACGTGTTTTGTGTTTTGTTTTTTATCTCGTAGCATCGGGAATTATTCTAAGTTTTTATTTCGTAAAATCAAAATATCGTCACTATCAAAAGCATACGCATTCATGCTTACAAACATTCTGTTGTCCTTAAAATATAGCACAACGATAAACTTGTGGATTTATATAACGCTAAAAATCGGGGTTCGATACCTGCGGTGAGCATAACGCAGATAGTCCACTGTGTAGCATTGGGATTAACAACAAAGGAAAATGAACAAATATATCTATGAATCGGCGAGATTACCGTCAAACAGGATATTATCTCGTAAGAAGTTAGAAAATGCCTCTTGAGTGACTGTCACAAACATCTGCCTCAAGCAGTAGAACGTTACGTACCGCATACAGAAGTTCTAGTAATGAGAGAAGTCATTGTGTGTGGGCGAGGATACAGATAAGGTCATAGGTGACCAAAGGGCTGTAAACACTAGTTCATTCTCGAAAAGTATTTGCACTTGGAAGACGCGGAAATGTAGAAAAAAAAGGTTCATCGAAGAGGTGGGCTCAAATACAGATATGTAGCAAGGCGTGCAAAGCGTGCTTTCTGCTAACGAGCTATGTATGTAGCGTTTAAGAGTACGACGAATATTTTCCTGCTTCCCCTACCGAACACTCTTCCCCCTCTTTTTCTCTGAAGAAACCGCTTATTGCGTCTAAAGATGGGATGCTATTGTTTAGCTGAAATCTCACCGGAACTACGTCAAATTAATCAGTGAAGTTTTTTTTTCTAACGTTCAACGTGTGTTCACTTCCAACTCTCCCTTGTTTTTTGTTTCTGTGGTGACTGCTCATTCCACTGCATCAGATAAACTCCCACAATCAGAACTTTTTTGTGTGTACTGCTATTCGAGTGAAATGTACAACATACATATTTCATACAATCACTGAAAGCGCAAGCTAGTGTCTGGAGTATGGGGGACAGTAATGTATTAAAACGAATTAAGTGCCTAGATAAAACTATTTATTTAACCAACGTTCATCAGAGTACAGCCGTTTTATACCATTGTTTGTTTGTTTGTAGTTAAGCACAAAGCTACACAATGGGCTATCTGTGCTCTGCCCACCACGGGTATCGAAACCCGGATTCTAGCGTTGTAAGTCCGCAAACATACCGCTGTGCCACTGGGGGGCCGTTTTATACCAACGGACACATCACAGACTAATCCTAGTGGTTAAAACAAATGAATATTCCGAGAAAAATTATCGTTGCATCACGAGGTACATATACATATATATAACTACATGTATAAGTATGTGTGTGCAAAGAAACCAGGTAAAGTAAAGCTTTTACGTAATTTAAACTTATACATATGACAATAAGTTGACAACCTGGTGATGACGGTAATACGGTATATATATATACTTTTTTAGAGTGAGTCATACACAAACAAAAAATAAATCAAAATTTACAAATAATACAAATCGTTATACTGGTTAATTGTATGCTACCAATCTTCGCGTAAAAACAAATTATGGATATTTTTTAATTGATCAATGCGGTTTCATTGTTTTTATGGGAAAGCTTCTGTTTTAAAAACTGAAGCATCAAACAAACGTTTAATAAATAAAACGTGACTGTCCAACAGAAGTATTCCATGTTATGTTAGGTAATGTGCTGCTGTAGCTTCTTTTAAGATGTATTCTAATTTAATCTGTCTAAATTATCTTTTAATCTGGCATATGAACGATGTCCGGTTTACTAAATATATTTTACTGAGTACAAATTACAATCAAGTTCATATGTAGTAGTTTGTGTTGTTAAACAATGCCTTACTAACAAGTGCTAACGGGTTAACCATGTTCATATGTGGTAGCTTGAGTTGTTAAACAGTGCCTTACTGACAAGTGCTAACGGGTTAACCCTGTTCATATGTGGTAGTTTGTGTTGTTAAACAATGCCTTACTAACAAGTGCTAACGGGTTAACCCTGTTCATATGTGGTAGTTTGT